TTATACTGTTTTATTCTTACTGTTCCCTTCCTCCTCAAAATTACACTTTACTAAAATATTAAAGCAAATCCAGGCGATTTTTACTTTTAAATTATTTTAAATAAAAAGACTTTAGAAATTATGCACTTTCCATTAAAGTTCCAGGTCTTGGATTTGTTATAATTTATATCTCAGCAAAACAAAGTCCAAATTTATGCTTCATAAATCTCTCCTACTCTTCTTCCTGACCTACCCAGCATGCTGGCACTGCCTTGGAGGGTTTGAACCCTAATGCCATTCCACACCTATCTTCAGCTCCGATCCTCTTTGAAACCTCATTGCACAGCACAGCTCCTTTCAACAAGATCCTGCTTCTCTCTAGCTTCCAATTGTCCTTTCTCTCCCCCCTGCACCTTACTCCCACCTCTTGTCTTGCCCCTTCACGGCATTCACGTTCCTGAGCAAGTCCCACCATGCCACCAGTAACTTCCAACCAAGTACAGCCATGCACCACTGTTTTGTATTCATTGTTGGGGTTTTTTGTATATTCTGTGCAGTATAGCAACTTGTGTCCACCCACGAGCTTCTTGGGCTGAAAGCAGTGATCATACAGGGCCCAGCACAACAGTCCTCACTCACAATCAGCCCCTTCCTGCATTATCCAGTGTAATAAAAACAGCATGTGTGCAGTATGAGTGAATCGGTCTCGCCTTGAAGCCTTTCAAAAATTCAGAGGAGTCTGACGAAAGCAGAAAGAAAGGCAAAGAGAAGGGAGAGAAGAGGCAGGAAATAACAAAAAAGAAAATGGACAAGATGGTTTTCCCTGGAAGCAGCATTCTGAGGTGCAACATCCTCCCCTTTCCTGATGTCCTTCCCCAACAAGGTCAGGCTAGGAGCAGCATACCTCTCCTTCCTTCCTATGTTACACTCTTTTTCTTTTGTTTTTTTTTCCCTTCCTAGATTACTTTTAACATTTACTTCCACACCAGTCTGACACTTACATGCAAGAAGTAGTACCACCTTTATGGCACTCCCTTACTGACTGGGCTAAGACAAGTCTGTGCTTTTACTAAGTCTGCTGAGCACCAAGAGGTATTAAAATTGTTTTCACTTCTTTTCTTCATCTTCCCACCTACCAACAGCAGTAACAGCCTCAAAAATTATACTTCCTTCTTCACTGCAGGACGGAAATAGTTCATAGAGCCTAATGTAACAAACTGTAACACCTTCACTGCTAAACACACCATGGCAATGAAGAGGCTCACGCCTTAAAAATACTAAACACCAAATTCACTGACATATCTAAAACTACATTTCAGCCGAGAAGCTGAAAGATTATAAAAATGGTGTTTTCCCTTCACTTTTATCAACACATACATAATCCCTCTCTACTCTCTCAGTCATAGCTCTGTGGCTCTTTTTAGGGAAAAATAAAAATCACAAAAAAGCCCAATCAACAATCTCAAGTTGGAGAAGACAACTTTGGATGGTTCAGACAGCTTTGGATGCAACTCAGAGAAAATTCAGATACAGCTGGGTAGTGGCTTGAATGATAAATAAAAACAAAGACTCAGCTGGGGCAGGAAGATATCAAAAATATTCAAAGTCTGCTGTCAACAAAGCAAATGTGCTTTGAGTCACCTCTTCCCACATGGCTGTCACGCAAAGCACACCTACTTCTTGCATGATCTTTGCATGATAGGTATCACACAGTATACTACATCTAATTCTAGAAAACTCTAGAAAACACATTTTTACTCTCCTTCCAATCAGACGAAATACACTTTGTAGTCTTATCCCCGGCAGTTGATAAACTGGGTTTGCAAATACTATGTTCCCCCCATCCCCCTCCCTTGTGCCTGAGAAATCATGATGCTACTCCCCAAAGGCAGATGTGTTAGGAAAAAAGAAGTGCCTACCCTGGGGGCTTTAAACCCCATTTCACATGCAAGGTGCAGTTCTTGCTCTTCTCCCAGTAAGCCCTACCAGTACTTCACAGTCCCTGTCACCCTCAGCCTCAACACCTGTTGGCCCAGGACCACACAGGTCCACTGCCAGCTTCCCTGTTGCAAGACACTGTGCGTCAACAGGACTGCTCAGATTATAAAGAATTAAAGGCACAAAGAAGTACTTTCAGCTGTGTCAAGGCCACAACATTCAATACTTGGCAGTCTCAAGGCCTTTTTCTGACACAGGATAACATAGTAATGCGTCAAAGGGGGAAAAAACATTAAAGATAGGAAAGTGAAAAAAAACCCAACAGATACTATATAACCTTATGAATAGCACAAGATTTTCCTGACCACAGCCTGAGTAAAAATAATACTGCAGAAATAATTTCAGGAACAGGAATCAAGAGCACTGCTTGCCTGCCTCCACTGGGGAGGGAGGCTGTCCATGGGGCTGGAGAGCTGCTCTTGATGGAAAAGCTTCACCTGGAAGAATAACTAAAAAAAGCTGCAGAAAAGGATAGCAAACTACAGCACTTCTAGGACAAAATGTGCTTCAAGGCCATACCAGAACACCTGATTTTAACAGGCACATACATGAGGGCAGAATTTGGCCTATATTCCTTACACCTTAAATTACTGTTCACAGGGGAGGGAAAGAAAGCCTCTTGAGTTTAAAATCTTGAGATTAAAACTAATTCTACAGCTTGCTGGACAGAAGGGCACTTCAGCAGAAATGTACTATTGAAAACACCCTGAGGCAGAACACAATATAAGGGCCGTGACAGTAAATGTGCATACCAAAAAGAGACAACTGAGAAACTTAAGTCCTGAACACTGACCTATGAAACCTCCTCTAAACAAAATAACAAAAAAACCCAAAAAAACCTCTCCACCTTTCTTTCAAATTCAAAAAAAATCTTTGTCACCTGTAAAAAAAAATTCACTTCATTGAGGCAGTGATTTGAGTTAAATAAACTCTACTAAAGAGCAAGGGTAATATTCTTCTTGGATTAAAACATTTCTTATCAGCCAATTAAGCACCTGATAGCTCTTCACCTGTGATATTAGCAAAGATAAAATGAAGCAGCCACCCTCCTCACCCATCACTGCAAACAAATCCCATTTCCAAGATGCACCTTTATTTAGGCCCATTAGTTTGCTGCTTCTTTACAGTTAAAGAAGATGAGGACCAATTTGATATCCACAGAAACAAGTTTTCAGGTGTTGGCTAGTAACAACAGTTAACCCAGTAACTTTAATTCCTGAGAGGAAACTGCTGTGTGACTCTAACTCTTCCCTTTCACTCCTGCAACAAGGGCTCAAAGCTTGAGTTGAAGCAAGAACCAGAACAACCAAAGATATGAGACAACTCTTCTTGCTATAAATAAAGTGTTTAATATGGAAAGTGTGTAAAAACAGTTTTCCTATTTGAACATCATGAGAAAAAGTGTTATGGTGTTTTTACCCCATCTCCAGAGAGATGGTTTTTCATCACAGCTGTTTTGATAAGGGCACTGAACATTACAGTTGTAAAACATGGCACCCTACTTAACTCTAGACAAAGCTACAGTTTTATTGCCGCATCTTGTGTCAACTGTACCGAAGTGTTTCAGGTGGCAGCTGATGGATTTTCACAAAATAACTATGCACACTCCCATAAGGAACTTTATTTAAGTGTTCAAGAATCCAATTGCAGATGGAAAAGCCAAAGTCTGAGTCTTTTAAATGAGCAAGTAATTATACTGAAAGTATTTGTCAGCTTTTCGCTAGGACTTTCTGGAGTTGTTTACAGAAAGGGCAAGAAAGCATAAAAAAAAAAAAGAAAAGTGGAGCTCTTGGATTAATTTACTTTTCTGTTCTAGTGTGTACTCAATTTGTCCACTGGGGACTTGATCCAAAAGCAAAATGAAGTTTATGACTGTCTCTGTAAGTTTAAGGACAAAAAGATGGGTTTAATTTTTTAGAATTTCAACCCTCTACATCTTACATTTGGAAGTTATATTGCCAAGCAGTGTCAGTCCTAAAATCATGAAACATGCATGAAAGAAACTTAATGACAAAATAAATGTATCCCACATTGCTTCAAAAATTTATGAAAAACATGTAACAACACACAATTCTGGAAAAAGTCGCTTTGTTGCTGCAGGGTCTGAAGCCAGGAAAAAGGGCAACATACATAATATCCTGAAAGAACAAGGTAATTGAATAAACCCACCCTCTTTTACAATGGTGCAGATTACTTCATCCACGATGGTCTTGAAAATGAGTTTAACTCTATAGATAACTACGTTCTTCACAACAAAAGGAATGAAAATGAGAGGAAGGCATTATTGTTCACCAAACAGAAACCAAACAAAAACCAGCAGAAGGGCTAGCAAGGAAAGAATGGTTAATCTCACATTTCTAAAAGGGTATTATAAACAAAGCATGGTGAACAACAAAAATAAAAGATTAAAAAAAAAAGAAGATACAAAAGTGCTTAATGGCGTTCTTTTAAATATTTACTTTGCTGCTATTTGGAGAATAATTTGTTCCATTTAGTAGCATTGGGCTCAAAGGACCGCTTTAATCCAGAGAGATTAATTATAGCCTTTGGAGTTATAAACACAATTTGGGAAGTGAAGCAGAGAAGAGGAGAGAGACTCCTCTCATGTTGGTGATTAACAAGTTTATGTGCTTTGGGCCTAGATTACACAGGCTGTGACCCTGCTACACCTGTACACTGCAGGCAGAACACTGCACAGGGTACCCATGAACTGAGGAAGAACAGCCCCCAGGATATCCAGGGAAGACACTACCCTACCCTACAGTGTTGCTATAGGCAACTAAGATACTTCTCAGGTGCCCTTCACTGGCATATTATGAAGACATCACCTGATCTCACTTTATTACCTGCATCAGAAACGAGCCACCATGCTGAGACGAGCAGGAGGCACGAGACCCCATCCACACTGCCTTTAAACCTCTCACATGCTTTCACATATTTCTTCACCTGCTCATTGCTGTGTCCCACACCAGGAGACACAGGGACCAGTAACATTAGCAAGGAAAGGCTGGAAGTGATCTTACCTAGCAAGGGGTTGGCTGCTCCCTCCTCTGAGCTCTCCTCAGCCCCCTCCTCCCCCAAGCCGGAGGTGGCCGAGTCCTCTGGGGCGGATGCAGAGCCAGGGGTGCTAGGCCCGCTGACGGACCCCAAGTCACCTTCCTCACTGCTGGAGCCGTAGCGGTCAGGCTGGGCAGCCATCCCGCCCTCACTGCAGCTCCTCCGCTCCTTGCGGTGCACCCGGGAGTGCAGCACCATTTGGTGGTAGGTGCGGAAGATCTTTCCACACTCAAAGCACTCGGTGGACTTGTTCTGGGCGGCCCGCCGGCTCTGCCGTGAGGCAGGGCGGTAGTCCAGATCCCCCTGGGCAAGCGGGCAGCTCTCCCCTGGCGGGGCATTGCTGGTTTTCTCTGGGCGCCCACTGGTGCAGCTCTTCTTCTTGGGGTTGCTGGGCGAGTCCTGGTCTCGCTTGCGCTTCTCCTGGTTGACAAGGATATACTCCCTCTTATCCTTGTCGTACGTCACGTCCGCATCTGCCAGGGCCTCATCCCATCCCACATACTTCACATACTCCGAGGGCTCCACTACTTTTCCTTTGGTGGCCAGCTGCCAAGCTTGGTAGCTACTGACCGGATCCAGCTCGGCTACTCTTCTCCCAGGTTGCCCTCTTGTAACTCTATCCAGCGCTACAGATGGCCGTAGATTGAGACACTGCAAGAAAAACTGCTTCGTTACCGAGGAGCTCAGGCTCCCATCGGTCAAGCCCTCAGCTTTATCCCCGGTGCTGCCCGGCTGCACCCGGTAGTGAACAACATTATGCGCTTTCAGGCTTTCCATATTTGTAAACAGATTTCCACACTTGGTACAAACTTCATACAGAGATAGGCCTGTCACAATTGTTTCCTCTTGTATCACGTCATTGATAGTGGCTATGAGCTCCAAATCATTTTTTGGTTTGTTTTTGCTCCCAGACCTGGGGCCATGCGACTTCATGTGGTTTTTGAGAAACCAGGGCTCTTTGAATCTCCTGCCACAAATATGGCATCCGTGATCAAATGAGCCCCTATGCTTTTTCATGTGAGCTTTCAGGAACCAGGTTTGACTAAAGGCCTGACCGCAGACTTCGCATGGAAACTCGCCTGCACTCAGCTCGCTCTTGCAGTTCTCAGTGTAGGCCTCCCCATTGGGGACCTGAGCTGTTATATGGTCCTTCTCTATGTGGTTTAACAGCGTCTCCTCCCTCAAGGTCATGTAGCTGCACAACCTGCACTTGAACGGTTTGTGGACCTGGTGCAGATGCTGCTCCAGGTCCTTCTTCCTTTCAAATTTGTTTTTGCAGAAGGTGCACTGGTAAGAGGTCAGCTTGCTATCCTCCTCAGCTGGCGCCGTCTCTGTGACCTCCTTCTTGCTGCTTCTCAACAAGATCTTGCTGCTATCGACCTGAGCAGTACCATTCAAGATCTTGTTGCAGGCAGATGTACTTTTAGTGGGGCTGGTGCACCCGCCAAGGCCCTCTGAAACGCCCATCTCCCCCAGCTGTGCCTCTCCCATCTCCACCTCGTGTCCCTGACTTAAAGTGCCTGTCCTGTGACTACGGATGTGAATCTTCAGGTTGCCCTTTTGGGAAGCTCTATGATCACAGTAAGGGCATTTGTAGGGCTTCTCACCCGTGTGCTTCCTCATGTGTTGTGACAGGGAGCTCTGAAAAGGAAAACTTTTACCGCAGATGCAACAGCTGTGGCACATGGTCTTGTCAGCATCCATATCGTTCTTGCTTAGCTTGCCAGGGCTGGAGGATCTCCGTAACTCCATTTCTGCCTCTCTTCTACGATCCATCAGTATTACTGCAACAACAGGTAAGCGGGGTAGGAGCACAAAAGCATGTCTGGCAGCAGAGGAGGGCTGGACCGCATTTTCAATCATACGGTTCTGCAGAGAAGTGTTTTTATTGCTTCAGTCTCAGGGTAACGTTTCTCCTTTCAGCTGCTCAGGAGAGTCCAAAGTGAAAATTTCCCTCCGCGTGCTCTGTAAGAAGATGGCATAGATCACCTGAAACAAGAACAAAATCATACAAATGTACAGATTCTTAAATACATTAAAATATATTCGTGTTTCAACAATTCCATCACTCGCCCCGTACTCAGAAGCACACCATACGACAATTTACTGCACCAAAAAGCAGCAGTTTCTCCTTCTGCTGATATTCTAGACTTCAATGACAAGCGTAATTACTAAATAAGTAAAATGCATAAAACAGGAAACATTCATTTACATACACTGACATCACAGTGTCTTGAATGAAGTGCAACCTTTAAAAATATTTTTTTGTTTTAAAACCAGGCAGAAGTGGCTAAAAATACACCTTAAATGAGGAAAACATTTCTTGAGGGGGTTATTACACTCTAAATCTGTGGCTTTACCATCATGTGTAATTTCATGTAAAATACTTACTTGCCAAAGATAAAAGGCCTTCCTAGAAACTTTACCAAGTATCATATTCCTACTGGCAACTACATTACTTTGCGCCTAAGACAGCTCTGCTGTGCTTGATGTGGCACGCACAGAGCAGGCGCAGAGGCTGAGGATGCTCAGTACTTTGATTAGAGAGCAAACAAGAACCCAGAGCCTGATGAAGCATTCATGAAAACTAAAAGTTACTTCCTGAGGGACAATGAAGGGAAAAAAAACCCTCCAAGGGTAAAATTTAGTCTAAAACTAACAAGAAACTGATTATGTGTGTAGGTATCAAATTACCTTAAAAGTCAGTGATTTATGTCAACAGGACATACAGGAAATCACAGCACCACCCACCTCAATGAAACAGAATCTTAACCATAAACAGACAAACAAAACAAGAAACAACTCTGATTAACAGAGTAATAAAAGTTTAAATGTTTTTGTATCTTGTCATGATTAAATGCAAGAGTCAGTATCCGCCTCAGTGGAAGATGAAACACACCCCAGCAATTCTCCCCCTTATATTCAGCAAAAACCAATGGTCAAGATCCCCATATACTGTTTTACACTGAAGTAATTGGAAAAGAAACAATCTTCCCGCCCCCCACCCCCCTCATTAAGGGCTACAAACACCACATGACTAAGATCAAAGAACACAGCATTCTCTAATGAAGAGAACTGATCTACTGCCACATTAACAGCAGCTTCTTAAAATGTAGCTAAAAATATGCAGAGCAATAACAAGACCGTCTATTCACATATCCATCACTTAATATCTATGACTCAACAAAGAGCTACAGATTTACAATTGTAAATTTTAAGATTTCTCACTGTATTCACCTCTTGAGTCTCTTCAATACGTACATAAATGGTCTAACCACAACACAAGCACGAGCTTAATAAAAAGCAAGGTAAGACTGTCACAATTATCGTCTTGGTTACACACTAGAGAACAACTTTATTACATTTAAGTTAATTTAGCCTTCTTATTTGCTACAAGACCAATCACTTCTGGGTTTGATTTTCTGCATATCTAGTATCCATTCAGCATGTTAAGAGTTATCAAACAGCATCAACCCAAACTACGTGTTCCTCAGAGAGCATTCAACGATATTTAAGGGATGAGTTACAAAAACAATTTCATTTCTTGAACAAATCAATTTTTTATTATTGCTGAAAAAAAAATAAATTTCACAAATTCAGAAGTCTAAATGAGCAGGAAGTTTACAAACTAGAGTACCTAAATTAATTTCTAAAATTAGCTATTTAGAAGTAAATTCAGGGACAGCCTCGGAAGAAATTTCCTGGCTCTATAAAGGATGGCAGCCACCGAAGTTGTAGCTGTACTAGAAGGTACAAACACGCCAAAAAGCAAATACAAATGAGGTTTACACTGCACATTGATAGATGAAACAATTCAGAGTAGCATCTTATTTATTTGACCCATAATCTAACTCTGCCAAGTAACAACCCGTGTTGCCTTATAATCAAAGACTTAAACTAGAACTCATTAAATCATACACCAGGTAACTTCTTGATCAAGTATACTATCATGCTAAATGCAAGCAACAGCTTCTTCCGAAATGATCCACATAATTTCAGGGATAAAAAATAGAAGACTTTGGGGACAGATTTTTTCAGATATTTTATACAATGTTTTCTACATTCTTAATATTCTACAGTTTTCATCAGTGAGAATACTGCTTTTATTGGCAGGCCAACTTTTAGACTATTGACTTTTTTTTTTATTTATTTTTAAATGTAGGTCCCTTTTTAACTCAACTTTCTACAGTGCTTCCTGTCTGAAAGTTCAAAAGAGCTCTAAGAGCCAAACTTAGACAAGAATGCTATATGCAGCAGTTCAAGCACATATAAATCCAAAGCTTCAGTCTCTTTGTTTACTTGGCCACAGATTCCCTGGGCTTAGTCTTGACATATTTCACTTTAATTATTTATAGCATTTTCATTAATGAAACTTAGTTATGAAAATGAGGCTATGAAGAAAGCATTACTTATAAGAAGGGTATTAGCCACTCACAGGAGACCCCCCCCAGTCCTATATTAAATTAGGCCTGAGGGGGGAAAAAGGAGTTAAAAAATTAATGAATTATTTTATTAGTCTAAAATACTTAATGGAAGTGTTATTGTCTTCACCAAAATATTAAAAAATAATTGTTTTGTCTTTTTTTACTTTATCTTGGCCAATGCACTGCAACTTATAACTTTAAAAGTGTAAATAAATTATTCCTAGATTTTAATTATTCGAATTCATACACATTTAACACCCACAAAATTTCAAGTCTAATCTTCCACAGACAAAAATTCCACTGAGAGTAAGGGTGTTCAACCAACCTGAGCTTGCTTTACACAGTCTATGGAGGTCTACCCTAGGCTTTGGTAAATCGATTGACACAAACGTATATGAACGACTCACGATTCCCCCTTCATATCATCTGAGTGTCACTTAAAAGCAATTCTTCTAGAGGGGCTCTCTGCAGAACAGCAAAGCCATTTGTTCATTGGAAAGCAGCAAATAAAATTACAACTTTCAAAAGAGCTTCAATTCTGAAGACTGAACATAACAATGAGAAAAAAACCCACTTGTAAAAAAATCCTACAAATAGAAAATAACATTCTGGCTTAATAATTTTTACCTCAATATTAATTAGTAAACATCAAAGATGGCACAAAGGATGGAAGATGTCAACTGGTAAAATAAAATTACACCAATTACTCTTCCATTGCGAGTAGACTCTTGCCATAGCTATTTTTGTTTCTTTCTGGATGACTGTGATGATAAAAATAGTTGTATTTTGAAATAATTCCAACTTTGAAAGTATTCTAAAATAAGTCTCTTTCAGCACACATGGAATGCAGCCACCTCCAGCTACCCCCAGGCTACCAAAAGTGTTTCACCTCTCAGCAATTTCAGGTGGTAACCAGTAACCTTTCAGTGCTTTGGTCCAAGATCACTCTGCAGCTCCACAGCACTGGTTTGTCACACAGAATCCATAGCGGAGTTACATCCAGCCTGCAGATTTCTCCCAGACTGTCACAGCACAGAAATCCCCACTAGCAGAGAGGCAAGCCATAAGGAAATGCAAGTGAATGTAAACTGTAAATTAATATGTAGTCTTTAAAAATATTGTGTGTGTTTTAATGGCACTGCAGTCTATGCCAAATGCCATACAACTTCTTGGGGGTGGGGGTGTGATATTCTGTTGTAAGGGGCATATGAACTAGATTAAGTTTATTTTGTTGAATTAAGAATCAGCAGTTCATGTAAGAAGCAGCTGGCCAGTATCCATGAGACATTTTCAGCCCCTTTAAAATACACTAAGGCACTTATCTTCACTGTTTACACGCAAGTTTGGAATATAAAGCAACATGGAAGAGAAACGTGAACAAAAACCCAAAAACAGGAGGGGTGGTGTGCTGCGAAATGCCTTTGCACCGCCAAATATTTTAGTTATAATGCTTGTTCCTGCACAATTGCCTCACAGAGATTCTTTGCCTTGACCCATATGGGAATAAATACACCCTTTTTTTTATTCCTAGTTCCCCTGAAAAGGAAAACAAGCTTTCCTACATGCTTAAACCAAGAACTTGTCAGAATCTACACTAATTCAAACATTTAGGCATCCAAACTTCTCTAGTTTTTAAAACTAACTTGGATAGAGCTCTTGGTTTGAGAGAAAACACATTTGACCAAAGAGACTTGCTCTCCCACAGAGCCCCAGAGTCTTTTCCAAGATCAGCCCTGGCTTCCCCAGTGAGGCTGTGGTAGCCTGGCCCTCCCAGCAGCTCAGCAGGTATGCTGGTGCATGGCTGCATCATCCTCGCAACTTCTGCAAGACCCTCACTTAGTCTTGACATGAAGTATGCATAAAAGTACAGGGAAACAGCACTTTATGTAACACAGGAGCACCCTAAATACCTATTACTCTTCTCTTCATGCCACCCTCACATTCTGAAAGAGGACTAGGTATGTGAGGACTGCCCACAGGGTGAGACAGATCCTCTTAAGGACCTTTTGTGCCTCTTGGAAAACAACTAATAAAAACAGAAATTGAAAATAAACAACACAGAAAAATTGGAGGGGAAAGAAGAAAAAATTATGCAAAGATACCACACTGGAAAAATAATTGCAAAATAATTTCTTACATACAGATATCCTGTGCAGTGAAGACGGAGGAATACATACAAGAAAATTATTCCTGTTCCAACATACAGCAGACTATACATTTTTTTTAAAATTTCTCTTCAATTAAACATGACTTTAAAAATCACATTGTATAAGCTGTCTAAGTAATAAAGAAGAACATACACTCTGGGAAGGTACAGAAACCTATTCAAAAAGCACAGTGTATCTTTTAAAACAAACTGCTTTCAGGCTGGGTCCCATCTGAAAGAAAAATGCACTGGAGAGATATCGCTCTTCTAATCTCCAAGAGATTTGAACATACACTGCAACCACTCCACCATGTTCCTCTGCAAAAATCAACAAAGACTTAAAAAAAAAAAAAAAAAAAAAAAAAAAAAAAAAAAAAAAAAAACCAAACAACCGTGAGGTGTGATCTTGTGGAAAAATA